CCGGCCGCAAGTGCGGCAGCCGCGTTCGCAATAACGTGTCGAAGCGGCTCGCTTCTCCCTCGTAAAAGAAATTACGCTTTTACATTTCCCTCCGAATGACAAATCGCTGACATGTACGCGCGGTGTACGGGCCCCTCTCTTCTCCCCCCCCCGGCAAAGCTGCTGGACACTGTTCCGGATTTTCTCGATACGATTTAAAGCCGCGACGAGGCCCGCACGTCGTTCGCGCAAGAGCGTGGTCTCAAAGCTGAACGGAAAGGAGAAACGGCGGAAATGGCTAAAGGAGATTCTCGCGGAGAAGCTCGACCTATATGCATACACGGAGGCTGTGGCACTCGATCTTTCTTTACGTAATTCACCCTGCCAGAGAAAGATCATATATATGTATAAATGTATATCCATCTTCGTCCCGCTGTCTTCACTCTCTGACTGTTTCTTTCCCCTTATCACACTCTTGCACAGCTCCCAACCCCCCCCCTTTTGTGTTAGGTACATCTCGCTCAGTTGATCTCTCGCTCCATCCCCGCCCGCCCCCTATGTTCACGCTCTTTTTCTCCCCCGCCCCCCCCCTTCCTCCACTTTCTATTTGTCTCTAACTCGGACTCTTCTCACTCATCCCGATGTACGATGGACTTACACGAGACTCCTCTCTGGATCTCTACACACTCTGCTCCGTCTCTCTTTGCTCTACGTTACTTTAAGTGAATCCGTTACTTCCACCCATACGAATGTACATACTCGATGTCATCTACGTTTCTTTATATTATACATATATATACATATATATATATACATGCATATACGCAACTGTATGTCTCCCTGTATATACCCGCTGACAAAAAGCTGACCGTACCGTGTAAAGACAAAAAAAAAGTACGGATCTGTAAATGATCGGAAAGATAAAAGCAATAGATCCGCTGAGACGAAAGAGAAATGAAAAAGACGAAATGTAAGTTGTCCATGTTGAGCAAGTTTAGCATATTGGCCCTCCACGCTACTCTCTCCCAACTGGCACGAATTCTAGTTGTACGCTAGCGTTTTTTTCCTCCTTGGCGGCTCGTTTCTCACCTTTCTTACTTCTCTCTGTTTCGCTCTCTGTCTCTCTGTCTCTCTCTCTCTCTCTCTCTCTCCCAATTCTCCCCGTACGTCTGTGGCTGTCTCGTTGTTTAGCTGAGTGATGTTTCAGTTCATAGATCGTATACCAATTTCTCTCTCTCTCGCTCCACATACACACACATGTATGGCTCTCTATCTCTCTCTCTTTTTTCCCCCGTCTGTCCGCTGTCCTTAATTTTGGTTGCGAGCGCAGACACACGAACACCAAACTCGTCCTGAGTGATGCACAAATGCCAAACGTCCGAGCGCATTGTCATCTTTGCGACAGATATCACTTGTCGCGCGCTCGCAATTGTGATGCTGCGTACCAGCGATCGACGGCAGTGCGATCGATCGACAATTCGATATCCCACGATATGCAACGCGTTCGGCGAGCGCGCGGTAAATCAAATACATAAACGAGCATTCATCGGCTCGCCGTTCGTTCCAGGGGGAGGGGGGATTTTTTTTACCTTGGCGGAGCTTGAATGCGAGCGTTTTTATCCAATGTTCGACGACTGGGCCCGATACAAGGCGACGAAGCCGATAATCTTTAACGGCAACGACGAACAAGCGCACGGATCGCTCGGGTGGAAACGCGGGCGTTTGGTTGTTGTCACGTTCTCGCTTTTCCCTGGTATACGCGGACGCAGACGGTACGTGCGCAGGCCTTAACGGACGCCACTCCAATCGGGTGCGCCGAATGAATTTTCCTGGGGAAACGGCGTCGCGAAACGTATCACAATGCCGGCCGATTGTTATACCGGGGAAATGCGCGCTTTGGAAACAACCGTAGACTGACAATGTACATCAACGCTTGTCGCAACGCCTCTTCTTCGGCTTCAAAAGAATTTATGCGCGTGTAACGTAGCGCGAAACGGTTGTATATCGACGCAGAGAGAAAACACTTGATAAACGTTGAAAACAGGGGACAACGAGTGATGATATTAATAATCCGCCGTCTAATTGTCCGAATTTACAATTCGGACTACAACGGAATACAACGTGCCATCACTTAAGAGGCTCCACGAACAGTTCGTGACTCGTGCAAACGTCACGAAGAGCAGATTAATCTTTCGAGTGGGTCATTTTCTTTAAACATTCGATTCGTAACTTTTACTAATTTCAACGATGATCACTAAGCGGCGTAACTTATACACGACGATACCGTCTTAACACAGAAAACTTATATGAAAAGATAATGGGGGTGAGATAGCAAGTTGCGGGTTAGATTATTTCTGCCGTAATTTCTTTTCAGAATCTCATCGTCACCTTCATTAAAATTCATTTTTCACTTTCTAATTTAAATCGGGATAAAAAGATTCTCCCAGCCGCGCCCGCGATAACTTTTCTACTCGCATTACCGAGACCGCGCCTGTTAACAGAGATTGTTCGTAAAAAAAAAATAATCCCCAGGCATAATCCCGGACCCACCTTACGATCATTAATTATCTTTCCAAGTTTATATTTTTCATTTTTCATTTTCAATGATACGATTAAGGAAAGCACATCCCAATGATTATCCATCTATCGATAAATCTAAGTAAACGTTGAAATGTTAAAAATATTAGAAATATTAAACAGTGTGATAATAACGTAAATATTAAAGAATTTAATGACCGGCTTGCAATTCTCTTAATTCTAATTTTGAATTTGCACAATTCGCTCGCGACCGTTTACGTAACTTTGAAAACTTCATTTCTCTAAATTTGCTAAATAATTAAAAAATCAATTCCACATCTCTCAGACGAGTGTTCGCGTAGATACACTTCATCTAAAAATGTACCGCGTCACGTGAAAATATAGTTTCGAAATTAGCATATCATTCAAAAGTTCAGTCATGGAATTACCGTATCGAATTTCAGTTTTCGAAATTAGCGTATTTCGATATTAGATTCGTATTTACGTCACGAATTCATATCCTATTTCTGGAAACTAATATTTTGCGGCTAAATAACATTAAAACTGTGGTATGTCAATTGGTTCCCATTTTCAGTCGGATGGAACAGCAACACGATCAATTTGCATAAATAATTTCCGTTTAAAGACCGCGAGAGCGTACGTTAAATTTCCAATACTAAATTGCACATGGTAAACTACGATGGACACGCTAGTTTTAAGACGCGCGACACTGCAGTGTCTACAACTTATTGCAGCCGAAGAAGCGCGTCGCGACGATACACATGTTTGCTTGCGTAGAAAGAAACCTTTTCAGTAAATATACATATGTAAATACGTAGCAAACAGTTTACAGTTCGGGAAAACCGTACGTGAAAAGAGAAAGAGTGATAGACGATTTATGTTTTTTCGGAATGATAAAAGGCTTGGACACGCGGGAAGGCATGCGGGACTGGAATGCGGAGAAGATATGTGACGCGATGGAAACATCGGAAGTGAATACAAGGAGAGGCGAAGAAGACCTGTACATAGAGGAAAATATATAAATCGTCGGTCGTGACGAAAAAGAAAAGAGATTTGATGAAAATTAACAGAGGCTTGCTTTCAAACGAACGTTTTTCTTGACTGTATCGCACGTACAGGGTTGTAATCCAACGATGTGTGTTTTTTTTCCGTTTGATTTCGATAAAAGTGTCAAGCAGCGATTCATATTTCAATAAGTGAACACAGTTATGCCGCTTTTAACTCTTTCAAACAATTTATTGTTATTCATTAATAATAAAAAACAAATTTCCCGCATATATTGTAACATAAAATTATTTAATTGATTAATTTAATTAATATTATTAAACGTCACATAAACTAATCATAAAACGATATTAACAGCATAATATCAATCGTATTTGTAATTATTATTTAACATCTCTTTTTTTTAATATCTTTTTAAGACAAAATAATTTTAATGAAATCCGGAATATGATCACAATCCGAAAATCGGCAAAGGCAAAGAAGATTCCAGTGTTTACAAAGAAAAATAAATCTTTATGTCTTTGAAGATGTATGGGTTTCAAAATTCTGGGAAACTGGGAAAGGAGTTTTAAACTTCCAAAGGTCTTAGGAGTTCCGACATTTTTCTGTTAACTCTCCGAATATAAAGATCTTTGTGGTCTTACATCCAAAAACCTTTAGAAGTTCTAGAATTTCAAAGTATAACTGTATAAAATCCATCTGTATCGTAAAGAGAGCCAAGGGATTGTACACATTTACCGTTTATAATATCAGAGTTTCATCTCAATTTAAAGGTTTGAAATGTTTATTATAAATTAGGGTCAGTTAAAGAAAATTATTGGCCCGAATAGCTGGTTTGAAAGAGTTAAATAAAATTTCAATAAAAAGAAACGAAATGTATCGGTACTTTTCTAGGATTACATCCCTGCACACACACATACACACACACACACAATTACACACACAATTGCACACCCATAGTTGCTATATGTATATGGTCTGCGACATGGAATGGGTCTTGACACAAATAAAATTAAACCTCGAGGACTGCTCTTAGTTTGTTCACATTCTTCTTCTTCGTTTTATCTTCTCAACAAAACTCCACCGCGAAACTGCTTCTGCATGCAAAATTAACTCTGCTTCGGTCTCCTCAACAACCGCGAGTGGAGTACGAAGGTTCCATTAAAAAATGCTTCGATGTGTTCTGTCGGAGAATTTAGATACCTCTAACTTTTATTTCCTAGTCTTATCGGTATCATTGCTGTAAATTGGCTAGTGGAGTTTCTTTAAACTTAATATTATCACACGTGAAAAGCTGCTTTCAATTACTCTTCCCCGTCAATATCAGCGTTCTATTACCATCTGCTTTATATTTTGGGAACTACGGGTATCTGAATTATGAAAGCCAAGGAACGTTCATCTCCACCTGCAGGTTCAGAAATCGTCGACCCTTTATTACGATGCATTAGAAATGTTAGGGTTGATTTCCTATCTTTTAGGAACAAATTGCGAAGGAGCGGCAGGTGACCGGTCGCGTACAGATCCAGGTCTCGTACGAGGCGGAACGGAAAGAATTGGTCGTTTCGGTTTTTATGGCCGACGACTTATGTGCACGAGATGACACCGGATTCGGCTCCTTGCCGGAGGCTTTCGCGAAGCTTATCCTTGCTCCACCATCGTAAGTCCATGGACATCTCATAAATTGTTGGATTGAACACATCCGACACGTTGGTCTCCCGCCAAATCGAGTCTTGACCACGTGTAAAAACTTGCGATACCCAAGCGAAATGAAAATCACAGATTTGACGGCAATACCAAAATTAATTATATGAAATTAGGGCACGACAGATTGATTAATATTTCACAATAGTTGCGCGCAAGCGCGATTAATGTGTTTAATTGTTTCTCCAAGAACTCGGGCCAAATTGATTTCTTTCCCTTCATTTATCTTTTTGTTTACCGAGTTTGCTCTATGCTTCGACGCTTAAAATGAAAGATCGATTAATCACTTGCGACCTTCACAGTGGCGATGCAACTCCGCTGAAAACTATCGTAGCCGAGCCGACCCAGAAACCTATCTGGAACGCTACATTGTTCTTTACTGGAGTTGATGGCGAGAGCCTGATGGAACGTGCGATCGAGGTGACTCTCTGGGATTACTGTCCCGATGGCGATAATGTGTTCCTTGGCGAATGCACTGTCGATGTTCAGCGAGCGCTTGAAAATGATAGAGCAGTTTGGTAGGTATATTTTTTTTAAGAACGGAGATTGAAGAACTTGTTGCGTCGGATAGCCACAATGATCGTAATTTGATATAACTTGACAGTACTTGATTGTAAAACCGTCTATGAATTTTATTAGCTAAACCATAACTGCTATAATAATTAGAAATTGTTATAAATTAAATGGGATCGGTATCTTAAATGTTTTACAAGCATTTTTTAAGGAGTAATAATTAATTATTATCAATCGCACTACAAATGTATCGTTACTGTGTCAAATAATGTGTCAGATCATTAATGCGTCAAATGTATCATTAATGTGTTAAATATTAATCTGCCAAATATTATCAGATGCGCTATAAATGCATTAATGCGTGCAATCTCTACTTTTCGCAAATAATAAATATAACTAGATGCGCAAACTAATTGAGCGAGTTGCAGTCGACTCGATGACTAGTAACGATACAATTGCAAAAAGTTGAGTTTTCGTTAACGTTCACGTGTCGAAGTATCGCGATCTATGAAATGTCAGGTATCGGCTGGAGGATCCGCGCGGTCTTCGAACCGGCAAGTCGCCGTATTGCTCGCCGCGCGGCTCGGTATCGATGGAGGTCGCTCAGAGATTGTATAGGAAAGAGCTGCGGGATCGTAGCTACAGCGACGATACGCAGAGCGACAGCGGTAGCCCGGAGTTCTGCTTCCTGCATCCGGACCATGCCTGGCACGCCAATTCCAGACGCGGTTCCAGCCAATCCGAGCAACTCGAGATCGAGCCCTACGAGCTCAGCCGGGATTACAGCAGATCTCTGCCGGGTAGCCGCAGGAGCAGCTTCCAAAGTCAGGGCGGCACCGACAGCAAGCGTGAGTGTCACGAAAAGATTCGACCCGATACGGGTCTTCCTTTCGGAAATACAGCGGGAATGCAACGATGCGTCAGTAAGAGGATCTCCCTCAAACTAATTTCCATTAGTCTCTTGGCGGAGAGAACTTAATACGAGGCTTAATTACGAGAATATTTAATATTATTTTAGTCGGAAGGGTACAATTTTAATTACAAAGAAATGTCTTGAATTAAATTCATATCGGGCCGCCCTTCGCGAGGAAATTTAAGGAAACTTTAATTTTCAATTCTATTCTAATTAATAATTCTTAGTAATTATTGTGCAAAGTTGAGAGATGCAATAAGCAAAACAAATACCTTTTTATTATGAATGTCAAATTTAAACGTAAAGCCCATCAAATATGATATTTGTCACATCGTCGTGATATAACGTTTTTGAAATATCTTTAAATTGCAAAATGACCGTGCGCGTATTTGCTGATGACGCATTCGGTGCAAATAAACGAAGCGTAATCTTAGAACGTTAGAACTTGGGCATTTCTAGCTTCCGAAAGATTTTCTTGCCAAAATTCGCGACATCACTCGGGAATACTCGACCCAATAAACCACGTTCCGCTTTTCGTTGCAAGCTGGCCATCTTGAAGCCAACTCACCCTTCTTCCGTTCCTTTTCAAAGATGATAACGATAGAGTGGGACTATCCGTGATGCTATTGTTGGGTAGCCTCGAGTGCTGCTCGGAAGCACTTGGCACGCTTAAGTAACAGCTTCCTCGATTATCGCTATTCGATTACGTCACTTCAGCCAGAAGACGCTCGTGTAAACGTTGTAAACAACAGAAATCGATGCACCGCGAAGTATCGTGAAAAATAGCAGGCATCAAAGAAGCATTAAAAAAAAAACAACAGAAGGCTAACATCATAGAGGACGAACATCGTAGGGTTCAATTTTTAAAAAAATGCAAACCGTATAGGAACAATTAACAATCCAATAACTGTACCGACAATTATGAACTTTCCTCTATATTAGAGTTCAATTTCGTTTCGCGAAGGACAGATGAAAGGCGGCTGTTCATTGGTCTTCAATATCGCTGCTGTATGATTTTCGTAATCGCCATCTGATTGCTCCTACTTTCCTTCCAGGTGGAAGCATGGGCGAAGCCGACATGCCCGCTATAGGGCACCATAATCGCGATCGGCGGCGAAGCTCATTCACCAAAATGGCGAGGGATCCCGAGGAGATCATGGAGACTCTGCTAGCGTTGAAAGCGACCAAGAGCGAGCTCAGCAGAACGATGAGCCTCTCCGGCGACAAGAAACGCCGCAGCCGTGAGTATAAGCATTTTCCTTGCTTCGTTTGGCCATCATTTCGCTCGTTCGTTCGTCCGTCCGACTGTTTGTTCGCCTTTGTACCTCCCCATTCGTCACACCCTCCACGGTCACATTAAATGCACTTTGTGAAATACACTTTTTCTCTTTTTCTGCCTTTCTCTATTTTGTCACCGTTACTGTTGTTTAACGTCTCGTTGGTATACCATCACGGTCACCGTCACTGTCTCGTTCGATTAAGAGAATCATTATCATATCACGATCGCGCAAGATGTATGTAAGTGTGCGAGTGCGCGTGTGCATTGTATCCGACTGTACCCTACACCGTCTCACATGTGGTTGTCCGACCATATTCGTTATGTGTGCGCATTACACGAATCACTTGCCTGGGTTTCTTTTTCTCTATTAATGTTGTTTCTTTCTACCTGTTTTTTCTTTCGACTTTTAGGAGACGATTTTTGTGTTGAAAACCAAATTTTACCAACTTATTCTCACCGTTCTATGATTTTTTTTTTAAAGAAGATATTCTCATTTTTTCGCATCCAAACGAGTGCTAAAGAATTTAGAAATTTTTCGTCAAATAAAACTGACTAAATATATTTTTCATATTTTAATCTACATCATTAATTGATCGAATAATTTGATAAAATGGAAATTTTTGTTTTCATTTTAACTGTTTGGTAAGAAATTCTGGAAACATTTTTTCATTTTTATTCCTGCGTCTTATTTGTTACATGACACGAAGAAAGCAGAGTGCTTTCGCAAGATGATACCTTGATGTCTTTAATTATGCTATTAAAAGATGTTAACAAAAGTTTTCAATTTTTAAAAAAATTTTGGTACTATAGAAAATCAATCGAATGTAATCTGCAGTTCTTTTCGTTGCGTATAAATTTGATTTTATACAATCACCTTCCTAATCACATTTAGTGTAGCCCTCACCTATGTGTTTAGCCACATGACTCTTTTGTAGAATTAGGAACCTTTCTCTTTCCAACAATTTTCCAACAATTTTTGTATTTCGGATGTCGATGCAATTATTATTTATCTGTCTCGCACTATCACGTCCTGTCGACCCCGCGCGGTTTGACCGAGCGAACGATCTTTAATATACGGAGAAACTTCTCCCACGTTAGTCAAAGGCCGTATTTTGGTCCCAGTTTGTGAAATCTAAATCGGACGGAACAAAGCGGGAGTAGCCCGACCTAGAAAGGATTTTGACAAGACTACGGGATACGATCGACCACTTGATTGAATAGATTTCGTGTCTAATGTCGACCATGACGATGACCGCCTTCGATACTCGCCTCTGTTTTACATCCTCAATTGTGCCTCGTCGCTTGTCTCATCGTTCATACGCTCGTTGTTCGGCTCGGCGTTCACTTCGCTCCTGGATTTAGTCAGCAAATCTCCTTAGACCGCAAACGAGTATTCGCCAAAAGTCATCATACAGGTTCATCGAGCTGCGCGGAACTGACTCGTCGGCGTCGGATCGGAGTCGAAACCAGAAAAAGTATAGAAAGCATCTCGATTCACCGCCGTGGGTTCATCGTGAAACCTGAACAACTTCACCGTGCGACATTTCGCTTGGATCCGCTTGGAAATTTCAGGCTCCGCTCGTCAATCATCCTCCGCTTTTTCGTCTCGAGGAGTCATCGTCCCGGTCGACGGAAACACGCTCGAGTTGACGTGGTCTTACCGAGCATAAACCACCACGTTCATCCCACCTTTGTGTCTGTCTCTCGCTCTGCTTGCGTTCCACGAAGAGGTCCATGTTCTCCGCCAAAAAACCAAGCAAAAGACAAACGCGATCTGTGCTCTCTGCCCATCTGTATTTGCGATCGCTGTTGTTGCCTGTTGCTGATTGCTCGTATCGTCTCGCAGCCTGGCAGTAACGACTCGAATCCCCGCTCTCGCTATACCTCAGGCTTTTACGAAGCGAGAAACAATGTCATCGCCGCCGCTGCAGCCGCCGCCGTCGCCGATGCGATCACAATAGCGGAGAACTTGATTCGCTGTTGTGCTTCTGTACCGTTGCAGCACGTGTGTGATTTTTGCGCGCCGCGATCCTTCGCTCTCTTTCTCTCTCTTTTTCTCTGTTGCTCTCTTTCTTTCTATCTCTGTCTGTTCTTACGCTGCTCAGCCTCTCATCCACTCCTCCGAGTGTTGTTTGCCGCATTGACACCAAGTGTGCCACAAGCGATGCGCCGCTGATCGTTCTGTCAGCAAGATTATCGTATCTTCGTCTTTCAGGCTTAACGGTCGCTTCTAGCTGGCGGCTTCTGCCACGCGCCGAACGCACCAAGTTGCGATGATGATATGTTGATAGTGATGAAAATTTCTCGTACAGCGATATCGAGAATAATGATCAAAGCAGTTGATATTTAATGGCAATACTGCTGCTTTTTGTATATTAGCATACTGAATGTAATTTCCATAATCTTTGCATACCACGCTTGCCAGTACATTCTACGCCGCTGAAATACATGTTAATTTCTTAAACATATAAAAAGAATATGTATTACGTAATATGGCACACGCCGGCGGAGTTGGCGAAGTCCGGGTCACATTATTTCCACGATGTAGAGTTAACTGTACTTATTGTTAGTTCGACATGGAATTATCGTCATTTTTATCCGCCGGCGAAGATGGTGGATTTGCGTTACAAGGAAGTAGGTTTTAAATTGCGCGTGAGAAAGAAGCTGGCAAGTGTTCCTGGGGCACGTATGAAAACAATGAATTTCAACGCGACGGGACAAAGTGCTCCCCACAATTATCTCCGCTCAGCTCTCCTCGTTTTCGCTCGAAACGGCCGTATCACGCGGCACTCATCTCGCCGACAGTAAGTCGCCACGCTGTACATTCGAAGCGATCATTAAGCGCGCCCCGACGCCACCAAACGAATTGCAATCATGCTAATCAGTTTCTCGCCTGCCGACCTCCTGTCTATGTGCATCTTCGTTCACGTAAAGTGCACGGCCTCGAGCGCAACGTGCACTTTGAACTCGACGCCACACTGTATTGCTGATATATCCTTTATTATCTTGATATCCTTTCTCGGTCGGCACCGTCTGCCAATGCCAAAACTCTGAACGCTCTTCGTACTCAACTCGAATCGCGAAACACTCGGTTCGCTCGGTCGAAACGCCATCGGTCATCGTCACGACCCCGATTATCGACGACAAATCGTGGGCCACGCACGCACGACCAACCAACCAACCAACCAACCAATCAACCAACCAACCAACCAATCAACCAACCAACCAACTAATCGACCACCATCGACCACCAACAACGACAACAGAGTGCGTAGTCCCAACAGTTACTGTGTGGCAGTGCGAGCCTGTGTCTCCGAGGACCGGTAACTCGGCCTCCTACCCATTGCCGCACTCCACACCACCTCGATAAATAATCGCAAGGCACTGTCAACCAACGTTACGGGCTTCCGGTAAGACACGCTCTTTCTCTACCGCTCACTGTCTATATCGCTCTTTACCTCTATCACTCTCTGGCTATCTGTACTTTGAGCAGGAACTCGCTACCAATTTCTGCACCTTTAGTTCACCCCCTTTAACAGACGGTATCGTAGTATTTATCCTGCAACGGAGAGAGAATAAGAACGGAGCAGATTTATTGATACGTCAAACACAGATGTAGCAAAATTGATATCAGAATATCCGTTAGTTTGGAGGATCGGATGTAAATAGACGAAAAGTAGAAACGGGACTTGGACTCGAGAATTCCCGACTACAGCCTCAAAGACGAACATTTTATTTTCTTCTCGCTAATTTGTATTGCAAAAATTAACAATTCTGTCAAAGCGTTAAGTTCATTAATGGCACCACGTTTCATTCGAGGGTATAACGAACATTTTATTTTCTTTCACATTGTTTTGTACTTTTCTGTAATTGTTCCTTATTAATACAATCAATTTTATAAGATATCCGTTACACTAGCAAATTTCCAACAGAAGAGAATAAAATGACAAAATTTACATAGGCACGAAATACTTTTACAATTATTGCATAAATAGCAACTTCTCTCTACCATATGTTAACGTTTTCTCTCCCATATTTACTTTCTCCATTGTTTTATCCTATTTTGCCGTTTTACTAATCAACGACGCGATCGATAACGTACGAAGAAAATTCAAAAGAAATATCTATGCGCCAATGTACTATCGATAAAGAATACCGTTCTAATATCTCTCACGGTTCGCTTTTCTACTTTTGCAATTTAATTTTTTCCCCTCCCTTTGCGCGCACGTGCCATTAATTTGTCTTTCTCCCGATACACGCCACATTGTATTTTCCAAAGACGCACGCAATGTCATTTATCACAAGATGAAGAAAGGATAACATGTTGATAAACTCCACCGCGCGGAATATTTCCTTTCCTCTTTGCACGCGTCTTTCGTGATCCCCTATAATTTTTTACAACGAGATTAATTATACTTCTGTTAGTTTTGCAACTTCTCGGGTATGTCATTAATTTTCTGCTTGCGTTAATTGTACTCCATTTCATCTTCTGCTCTCATTTATTAGTCTAGTTAATCATTCTAAACGCCAAGAGTTAGTACATTAATTTCCCGCCATCTTCTAATTTAGCTATGTCCCTTTTCTCTTTCTCTCTCTCTCTCTTTCTCTCCCCCCAAGATTATATCTTTTGTAAATTTGGTCAAAACAACTACTTAAAAGTAATACGTGCAACATTTTTCCTGAAATTGCCTTCGTCTGACTCGGTTAACAATCGAAATTGAGTGGAACTCAGTTTAATTAGCAATTATAACTTTATTAATATACCCTAATAGTTTGACAGAAATACACGCGCACAAATTTTCTTTAGTTATTCTAACGCTCACAACTTCACGTATAACTTTCACAATTGATGGATAGATGATTAAATTTACAAGCACATGTACACATCCAAACAAACGTTTGCTCATGCAAATGTTATTTTATTTATTCAATAATACGGAAATAGTGCAATTTTTCGAGTCATCTGCAGACAGGTGAGTAGCAAACAAAATACCTTATCCCGTTCCTCACTGCAAACCCTGACGACTTCCTTTTTGCTTATCTCTCCCAAATCTATTAGAGCGAGTAGCGCTTCGGAATATTTGCCTCGGTGTATTAGCATTTATAGATAATTTGAACGCTAGCCACTTACTGCTACCACTGTTGCTACCTACAATCGTGATCTCTAGGTAAGATAAGTCGAATGCTATCGTCGTATCGTCGCACGTCTTTAGCTCTATAGTAACATGAACGTCTGACGAGTAGCACTTTACTAATACGATTGGTTTATTAACCCTTTCTCCATACTGATTATACGAGATCTTTCTACCGATTCTCTCTTTATACTGTGATTCCGAAATTGTTCTTAGTCTTTTTCATTTCTAACTGTTCACTATTTTACACACTAGTCTTGCCTATGCATATCTTTAAAATTTTCTATTCCATGACACCTAGTTAAAAATATATGTTACGTTAAAGAAACATTTATACATTATGTACAAAAATGTTTATTAACGACATTCGTACGAAATGTGATAATGTTAATGCACACATATAATGTATGGATAAGAAATTTTTTAACATAAGAATTAGAAACAAAAGATTCGGGATTTATACAAAAGTGCTTGTGCAAATGAATAAGAAATGTACATACTAAACAACCGCAACCTACAAACCTACAAAGCTACAAACAAATCGGTAGAAAATATAGTTTTGAATGCAAATCCACAGCAAGTTTAGCTACATAAATTGATCATTTCGACAAAGAGTATCTGTTAGAATTAGAATGATATGTGTGTTCTATAACAAATATGTGGGGAAGTGTAAATGTAAGAATCATAATGAGAACTTTAGAAGGAATATGTTAACAATAGAACGGGAGCTGTATTAGCTCTCCGAGCTTCTAATTATCTTATTACAGTTATCGAGACCGAACTTCCCTCTTGGTAGAGTTGAAACTCCCTGCTATCGTTGGTACTTTGGAGCCGAAGTTTGTATCTTACTTCTATGTAGAGAGAGAGAACGCGTTTGGAATTTATCACATACATCTACCTAATTCAGAAAGGTTCGGTCGTTGAATTTCACGGTTCGGTTAGCAGCTCTATTGGCGCTGATTGAATTGCTCGCATAGAAATCTTCACTGCGTATTTTTGTACAATAAAGTGGACATAACCAGCAATTTAAAGATCGACATTGATATAAAGGTGACATTTGATTTATTCTCTGTTGCAAAAGTGACGTGTGTATACAATTTCCTCCCACTTTTCCACCGTGTATGATTTTAATATATGCAATATACGAGTAAAAAAGAGCTCTCTGTTATTTTCACAATCGCTTACTTGAAGTGCCACTTAAATAAGACGATGTAACATCCCCACGAGATGTTTTGGAGCAAATTTTGATGGATATTTTTTTACAATACAACGCAACGATACTGAAATTCACGACCGAGGATGCTTTGCAACTGTCGTATTGTTCAGTAGAAAGCTTCTGTGAGAGATCTGTTGCATACAAAAACTGAGATTACAAACCCGTAGAACTGGCTATTCTGACTGGCAGGTGTAAATTGTTTTATCCAATAATTACTTAGCTGCAATCTGTATGGAAATATGCATGCGGGAAATCGAGGAATGTCAACTGCGGCGACCAATATTATGAATTATTGAGATGAGTATTGTCAATATGAGTATGTTCGATGAATAAATAATATCTTGGTAAAACCGGTTCGCGCTTGCTCGTGCAACGCCATACAGCTTGCAGCCGGTCCAATGTGATCAATAGTGTGAGAAGATCTTTTTCAACTCGTAGGGCGGGGTGAGCGCAAAGACAGCGTCATGGAGATTCCTGAGAGATTTTACGATCGAAATAGCGAATCCGACGAGGACGAGAAATGGAGGTACGCGATCCATCTTTTCGTGACAAGTTAAAACGGATCAATCACTCTGGTCTATTCACATGTTCAGTGCGTTTATTATCAATTCATCAATTACGCTTTATATCATCGCGTCGTTGATATTTTAGTCCGTTCGCCGTACACGCGAGAGGAGCGGACGCAAGCTCGGGATCATCCCGCATTGATATTCATTAAGTTAAACATAATTGAATTTGTAAGGCACCAACTTTTGTTATTGCAGTCAGCCGGCGAGAAACGAAAATGGCGTCGATCTGAAACTGGGTCGCGGACAGTTGCTGCCGAAAGGATACAAAATAAGCAGTGGTAAAATATCCGTTCCAGCCCAGTAACCTCCTTGAGATTACAAATTATTTGTTTCCCCGCGAAAATATTACATATTCTCACCTCTTAGTTCTAGCCACGATGTAATTTCCCACATTATACTTGACTGCTATAATTTTGCTCAATCGATGGCGTCACGGAGCTGAAATTCGCATTTATATTTCATTTAATTTAAATCTCGAGAATGTCTATCCTAGCTTTATTTCGTTAGAAACTTATTACAATTTTCGAATACTTCCGTACATACTTGACCGTAAACGTTGCAGGAGCACAGAATGGCGAAGTACAGCTGGGCTTCTATATGTGCAAGGGAACTCTCGAGGTCGAAGTTATCTGCGCAAGGGATATCTGTCCCGAGGAGAAGGACGAGCCAGGTAATGAGGAGCGTGCCTTCCTCCTTTACCGCTGTTAATTCCTCCCCATTCGAGTTATTCGTTTCTGTTTGCACTTACTATAAAATTCTAGCAACGTAGTACCTTTGAGATCCTGCCGGCTATCTATCCTCGCGCGGGCGTTAATTTCGTACCCGTTACTTTTACAGGGTGCGGGTGTTCGGTCTTGATTATTCATGCATTACTTTAGCGTTTAGAAACAAATTTCCGAGCGGGCGTTCAACGCGCCGGTTAATCGCAACGACCTACATCCGCTAACTTGTTAAGGCTTATTAAGGTCGAAGCTGCAGTAAAACCAGCGCGTAACGTTTTTATGAATATTTTAAAGATAGCTAAAAGCCATTAGCTCAGTTTTAAATATTTTAATTGGCAAAAAGATTCAATAAGATTCACGATAACGATACATCTTGCCTTTCCTCCTTCAGGGACGTCTGATCATTTCTATTTTTTTTTGGTCTTCTTCTTCTTCTTCCTCGTGTATTAGGCTTAGAACCTGTTTTATCCAGTCATCGTTCTGGTACTTTGAGCATTTGCTTTTACTTTATCTTCGGTAGGCTGCTCACCTTGCCGGAAACCTCCCATCTGGAGGAGTATACCTTATACTCTCGGTGGTTGCTACTTTCCTTCGGGAGATTCCGAAAAAAAACTTTTCGTTCACTTGCTCACCAAGCAGCGCACATTTCTCTGTGCCACACTCGCCACATTCTATTTTTTGTGTTGCTATGAGAAGCCAAGTGTCCCTTTGCTCTACATTTTCAATTGGAAGTTCACGAGAGAAGACAATTCTTTCTACACGAAAGTCGAAAATGTCAGATTTTCAAACCATTTTCCCCCCCGAGTATTGACAGACGAAATTTTTCTATCCCTTATCCGTAGATACTTACGTGAAGACGTACTTGCGCGAACGAGACGGCGACAAGTGGTTGCAGAAGCGCAAGACTCGCGTGGTGCGACACTCGAAGACTCCGCAGTATCGGCAGACGCTGAAATACGGGCGCTGCGACACCCTGCAGAGCAGGCACTTGCTGGTGATGCTGTGGGAGAAGAAGCAGGGCTTCGAGAGCAACCAGGGGCTGGGTGGCGCCGAAGTGGACATCGATGTACTGCCGCCGAAGGAATTCATCTTCGATTGGTATCCGCTCTTCCCGATCCACACCCTCGGCACGCACAACGCGGACTCGCCATGATGGCTAAGGGAAAAGTGGGCCCTCGAGGCCGGCGAGCTCGACCTCAGATTGAGCCTTTTGCTCAAGGACGAGGGCGAGCCCGTCGTCAAGATCATCTCTTGATGGAAATCGTGGCTGATCACGTGGCAATGCCGGCTGGCTCGGATACAACGCGATCGCGATCCCGGCGGGGCAACGGCATTTCTTATTATCACAAGTCTTTGAGTGTAGCGACGAGGCTCACGTTGTTCCAGAAGGCGAATAGTTTGCGTCGACGAAGTTTCAGTCTTTCTGTGTTGCCGCGGCTCTTCAATTATAACTTATATTCGCAACAGCGGATGTATTCAGGTAAAAAGATACTTTTCACTCGACCTGCTGCAATATATATGAATGTTAAATTAATTGGCACTCGTAATTTGGCTGACGTTAAGTCGATTAACGTATCCTATAATTAATTGTTAATTAATCAAATGTGCAAACAAACAAGTAACGAACGCGTCTGTCAGCTGGATTGCTTCATTATTTATAAATATTCATAAATAAATATAAGATAGAGGAAAGGTGTATTTCTAGAGTTGGATAATTATCGGAATATTATAATAAAAGTTTTTATCCTTTCTTCTAATATAAATGTAAAAATTGAAACGGTTGTCGCGGAGCGCAAGAGCTTCAAATTGCTCATCGCGATGTACAAAACGCGATTCTCAAAAGTAATAAGATCAGTCAGTAACCTGAATCGATTATACCAAGTGCTGCACGACAAACTTAATTGAAAAGGATCATGCATAGCGTATAACCGGAAGACAATCAACTTCAGATGGTTTATACTATTGTTCAAGAAGACAATCAACTTAAAAAAAAAATTGTAGAAAGACATAACGCTTCCATTGAATTTGCAAGCTCCCGCTTACGGGACGATGTCAGCGTCAGCGTCGTCGCATCTAAAACTCGGCAAAGAGAGAGAGAGAGAGAGAGAGGGGGGGGGAGAGGAAAACATAGGTTCGAGAGAACCGAGTTCCTTCGATTAACGCCTTTCGTTATCCGCGAGAGTACTCGCAGTGACTTTAGCAATAAAGGTGTACCTGTGCAAGTCTTGCTCGCACGAAACAGCAGGGACAAAGGGAGGAAGGTGAGGAAAATTTATTTTTCGAGCAACTACAGAGACGAGTAGAGGCAGCCATGTATCCTGATGGAATGACTAAGGGTCCATTTTTCCCGAAACAAATATAATACCGACGTCGAGCGCGTCGATTATACGAAGCGAAGCTCGATCGACATCTGTCGCCGGCGGCGGTCTCACCTGGTTGATCCAGTCAGTGATTCGATCGAATTTCGCACTTACTAATTCAAATGTCGATACTTGAGGGTCTAACGGGGATATAGAGCCTGTTTGATCTTTCTACGTCGACGAGGCATTTTTCAGGACTCGCGTTCTGTTTTCAATATAAATATTCGATTTGGAATGCGGAACAGAAGTGTGCGAAACTATAGCGAACGATGACAATCTTTTTGTCCTGCTTTTACGATCGACGTGCAATTCCGAATTGTGTTACGTTTCGTTGTTCCCTTACATTACATCTGCCACCCACATAAACGTTAATTTGTACAAATATTATATCGACATAAGTCGTTGCGAAACAATCTCGAATTATAGAAATTCAGAATTTTTGTACATGACGTTCCATAAAGTTCCAAAAAAAAGTGACGAGAAAATAGAAAACAACCGAATCGAATGAAATGCCTCGATCGACGAAATTATTAAATGCTTTAACTATTTAATGGTAGACAATCGTTTCCAGGCTCGCTGGCCGAGCCGATGATAAGAAAAAAAAAATGGAACAATTAGCTCGAGGTGGTGGCGAGACGAGCGGATGAGTTCCCGGAGGTAACTTCGCGGCCAACCTGAATAATAACCAACCAAACTCGGTGTTTAGAAGTCGCACAATTTTTGTAGCTCGTAGACTGATAGGCGGGACGGACAGGCGGATCTCTTCGACGTTTCTCAGATGTAACACTGACGTCCCGTTTTGCGTAGCGTCTCGAAGATCACTGTGACTCCACGAAGCAATCTCAAGCAGTTTCGATTGGCTACGAAAGGCAAGGAGTGAGGAGAAAAATTGGCGGAGAAGAGACGAGGGCAGGCACGTATACGGCGAAAATTCTAACACGAGCTTAATCTATCGCTTCGGGACGACTTACGATGATTCTCGGGACGTGTTGATGTGAATGTTTAAGTCCCACAATGTCCCGCGACGAGATTAGGGGCATAATGGATTGTCCAGAATTATTGCGCTTACCCCGCCCGAGTAATTAGTGATAGGTAATAAACGTGATAATATCGTAACAGAATTAATTAACGACCCGGCAGCATCCTCACGATATGATCCACGAGTCCCGTCGTAAGCGATTCACAAATTTATCATCATGCTGAAGTGTGACGCGCGCACAGACGAGTGGAACTGCACGCGGCGGTACTTAAGTGATGCTGCGTGTGTATGTGTGTGTATAACGTGAAGCTCACGGCGTCGATATCGACCCGGGACGTGGTATACACACGCACACACCTATATAAATAAATATATATATTATATACTATAATATATTATTACAATCCGCGGGGAAACTGTAACGAAGGATAATCAAAATGTACATGTGTTTAAATGATACGATTAAGGATAAATACAAGGTGTCACTGTCCCACATCATTAAAACTCGGTGTTAACGATGTAGATGTTTAAGGGATGTCAACGAAAGTCCAATCGAACATTTCTTTTCGCAAGTCCCTCGAAACGAAATTCTTAATGACGGTACACATGTGCGGTTCTTACATTGGTGTAATTTCGTTCTTTCCTGTACGTGCGTCTTCGTTCGATTACACCTTTTTGAAAATATTGCGACCTCGGTTAAGTATCAGGCTCTAACTTTTCTTACGACAACTTTTACCTGTTCATCATTGACATCGGTTCTCTGAGATCCGATAGTTTGGACAAATCTTGCGATTCCTTTGACAATTCTTTTTCTGTAATCTGCAAACGGCGGACGTTTGATCGAGAAGACGTGCGAGCGGAATCGCGAGCGCCCAAGCATCAAGAAAGTAATTTTTTACTTAAAAACGCGCAGAGCGGGAAAGCCCGGCCCGGAAAAAAAAAGAAGAAAAAAAAAGACACTTTAATTACGGTTGTGCTATTCACGCATCTTTTGTCGATATAATCGCTACATCAGTCTCTCGCCTCGAACGCCAGCGACACGCCTCGCAAGACTCATAAACGAGACGATTGTGCCTTTGCGAGGGCTACGTCAGATATATCGTAGAAAAAATAACGTCTCACGAATATAATCGGTCTAGAAGCATATCCGATGTCATGAATATATTAAACGACACAAATATTCGAACTTTGCTGTAAAACAAATTACGCATTACTTCATACAATCTCGTACGTGTATTTTATTCATTATGTCATATATAATACCGGTCTTAATAATATTACTTATTAATATTAATAATATTACGCATTCGCCAAAGTCGGACAATTTTAATTGACACGCGACTCGTAATGCAATTAATTAATTTACTTTCACGAGTGAACGATAAGTTAAATACGAATCGTGTTAAAGAGACAAAGAAATAAATTCCAAATACGATACCTTGCGTAAACAGAAAACACAAGCGAAAGAGATATTTGTAGCGGGGGTGAAGGAAATCGGCGAAACTTTCGACGGAAGGTCACGAATTAATTCGTGCAAATGCATTTCGTCGAAAGTTTCCTCACACGGAGATCGCATGGACAATCTTCTCGTACGAATGCAATCATCTATATTCTAGACGGAGGACTTCTCTCCTTTGTAAGTAGCTGAGCGCATTCTAAACAAGTTTTCTACTAGCCTTGGAAGTGACCTAATAAACTATTACGATCGTTAGTTATCGATGCCGTTGTTATCGTTACTACTATCGCTGCTGCTTATTCTCTTCTTGACTATTTTAGACAAATTAATAATTATTAGAGCTCAAGATGAGAATTTACATTTCGTAACGGTATTAGTTTTAAATCACACTGTCAGTGATCTTAACTGATAAAATTGCAAATGACAAATTAATCTCTTGTTCTTCAAATTATTTTTACCTTTATTTATATCGGCCCTGCATTCCTTGGGTTCAAGGATGTCCTTTTATATAAAATTAATATTAATTTTCTAATTAAACACTTTCTTTTACTTTATATATGCAACATCTTACATTTGCACACTTAAATAGATATGAAAAAATTAAATTGGTAATTAAGTACCACACTTTCTGTGTGGTTACGATGCTCCGAAGAACAAGAGATTAAATTGTATTTGAACGCCGCGCTTCGCTCATTTCTCACGCGTCTCTGGAGATCTTCTAGCGGTCTAGTTTTTCGACGAAGTTCGAGCTTACAGTAAAATCCGTATCTTATAGTAAAATCTAGACACGTGTCATTCGCTCGGATAGAGAGCAACTACGATTTTTCTACGATACAGAACGCTAGCGTCTTAATGTAGAGCATGACCTGAGTCTGTTTCACTTATTGTCTCACGTCTAATTATGACGAACACCTACATACACAAGGCACACACGGACGGACGGATAAACAGATAAGCGGACAGGCAAATACACACGTGCACACAAATACGTTGTATCAATCTTGACAATCGAAACTATTGATCCAAACTTACGCTATCGATAGAAGATAATATGTGTGTGTCTCGCGTACTTATTACAATTCATACCGTGTATACATATACTGCAGGTCGTGTGTAAAATATTCCTAGTGACGAGCACACACAACGCTAATTATTGCGTAATTCTACGCTCGGTATGTGGTAAATTATCAGGTCAATCAATCGCGGATAGAAACATTCCCTGAAAAATTATTGATGAACGTTGAAGGAAGTGGGCTTCCTTCCTCTCGAGACGAAATGGATATTGATGCGATCGGCCACCACGTTGAGAACGCTGTTAATTAAGAGTTACAAGCGACAGCCTCTTCCCTTACATATCTGTGTTGTACTCGTTCTAATGTCTAACTGTAAGTGTCAGGGACAATCTCACGGAAGTGCGCGCGTGTCTTCACGTGGATCAAACAACAATGGCAAGTTCTCCAGCCTGCGTAGCAGGAAGCGTGCTCATATCGGCGTTTCGGCGATGGAAATCGATCCTGTATCCGCTCGAGTTTGCTTAATTCCTTAAGTAACGCTGTATTACTGACACTAAGGACTCGTCGGAAGACCCTTAAATGGGCACACGATCGATTTTTCTACGCTTTACTTTGTGACGAAACGCTGTGCGAGAGGAACGAAGTAACTAGCCATTTGCCAGTTGTACAATTCTTTTTCCGTCTCATTTCCGTCACGTTATGATTTTCGTCACCTTGCCACATTTCGCGGGAAAGGATTCCCTCGCGGGAATTTAAGCGATCGACGATAACGACGATCACGATCTCCGTTTCTCAACAGCGAGTGCTCAAGTACGGCCTAAAACCTAATATTCGAACGAGTCGCAAAAGGAACGCTTGATCCTCGTAGATGCGCGATTAATTGTTACATACGTACACCTGTAAGTACTAGCCGTTAAACTGATGATTTGTAAAATGTGTAATTAAAACGAAGCGTGCGGCTTCGAGAGGGGAGGAGAAAGGCGAAAAGCGGAATCGTATGTAAAAGATTTTAAACGAGTTACAATAATCATTCGGGACCCAAAATAATTTCGACCGCAGAACAACTAGGGACTGGTAGTTAAATGTCTTTAGCGATAATTAGCCTGCAAAACTTAAATTAAATTTGACTAGAGCGATTTATCGCTAAAAGTACCCCTCTTCGATTAGCAGAAAGCTCTTGGTCTCGACTAATCGACTTCTTCTCACGTTCTACGACATCGTTTCGCTCGAGATAACTCGAGCGATTCCCATATACTAAAGCAATCGAACTGTTTTTTCCAATATTCTCCGAATTTCGTCTTTCTAATATATCGCTGTCGTTAGTGACTGTAGATACTTAAAGAAATTAGAATTTATAAACTTAGACACGTTAAGGAATTCTGCCATTTTCTCATCAGCCATAGGGATGGCAGTTAGAAAACGTTTCGCTGGTGTACAGCAAACTGATTTCCTTCGTTTGTGACACGTATTGTGAGTTGTCCCAAGTTTAGGGAAATTTATACAAAACTTTATTTATGAAAGCCCACCTTTTTGCGTAGTGGGTGCATAAAGTAGCGAGTACGTACTGTACTTATAGAAATTGTTGATATCTGCTTGCTCTTAAATGAAAATTACTAAAGTCACTCATTGCTTAATTTTATAATTTAATTTTCATAAATAAGAGAATTAATATTGAACAAGTGTATCCATATTTACAAATCATATATATTTAATACAACCACTTTTAATCATAAATTCTACGTATTGAATAATTTTAAGTGACAACAATCTCTTCTAACGTAGCCGCATAATTTTTATTAATTAAATCTCTGACATCTGTTTGAATATAATAAATGGCTGACAACGTGTCGGGAAGCACTGAAGAATATCAACATAAATAGAAATATACTACGGCCTTGTAAAGCCTTGTACAAAACGGGCAAGTGTGTCGACGATTCTTCTTGCTTTGTTTTACTAAAATTATTAATAGCGATTAAAATTCCTATAAGTTTTACGAGCGATTGCGCGTGATCGCTCCGCGCTCATGCACACTTTCACGAAAGTGATAGTTCGCAAAAAGAAGCGCAACAACGGGAAAGACACCCTTAATATATAGCTAAGAGACGTAGATACGATATGTTGTCACACATATATTAAACTCAATGTGATGTTCCCTGCATGTTGAATGTTGATCGTCACGTATGTGGATTAGAGTCACAGAGTGTGATAGAATTGCGGGTTAATCAAGAGTATGGATAATTAGTGGTTAAGCGAACTGCGATATCATTTTCTTTCTATTGGTTTTGTGGCGATTAGCGATCACGAGGCAATTTTAATTGTATTAAACATTGATTGGTCGGTAATGCAAAGAAGTCCATAGGTGAAATTTATTCTCAATACTGTATGCATATGCATCTGTATTTACTGAAACTTTAGTTACAAAAAGGAAACGGCTCCGTGAGTGCACAAGAACATGATATTTTAAACGAACGATATATTTTAATTGATTGCTGAAGAATTTTATTTTTAGAAGTGGGCAGGTAATTATAGAAAATAGCAATTATCCGAGAACACTCTTGATGGAGTGACGTTCTCAGTTTCTAAATTTCTAATGCAAATTGAAAGACTAATATTGTTTCAGAAGTGTCTCATAATCGACGAATCAAAGTTTTTCTTAATAATCGAATAATCAACTTATTTAACTGTTAATTATCACCAACATGTAAGTCTCTCTTTTCGTTCGCACCGTTGAGTAAAGCCACAAAAGTACCTGATATGACTTCCACAATTTTATCTACAAGAGAAGTTCTGTACGAGACAAACGAAAAACATAGCATTTTCTATTTAAAGATATTTTCAAAATATTAACAGCAGACTTTACAACGTTTATAGCGCCTACCTAATAATCTTCTTTGATTCTAGAATACGTATATTTTTTGTATTCAATATTTCCACTTGTGTAAAAATGATGAAACCCGAAGCGTCATTGCACACATTTGGTAACATGAATGATTTCTAATCGATGGCAAATAGGATAAGAATAAGGCAAGAATAATAATGAAGAAAGGGAGGAGATGTAACTAAATAATAATGTAGCAATTAGAATAGATATTATTATTAACTTCTTTAGTGGGGGAAAAAAGTTGTATTTTTCCATATGTCAGGAGAACGAGAGAGAAAGAGAGCGAGAAAACGAGTTCTATTATAGTACAACATTGTATGTAATATTTTTCTGGAGAAAGTACAGGAAGGACCATCGTATATCTTGCAAGATTGAAATAGTTTCGATTAGCCAGCGAATAAACTAGAACAATAGATAGATTATTGATAACGTTAGCGCAGTATGCTTCGCACCTCAGAATTAATTTTTTCAAGTTGAAAAAACCGACTGCTGTGTTAAGAATGACACGCAAAAGAAGGTTATGCGAAATGATATACATATAAAGATAAGGATTGCCAGATTGATAGAGTGTACAGTTGCTTTATACGAAACACCTGTTATATGAAGGAACAAAAGAAAAAGAAGAAGTTATAGCCGGTTTCTATTTGCCCCTCGTTGAAATTCCGTCGATGATTTATAAGTAGCAAACTTTTACATTTGGATTCAATCTCCCCATCTATTTTGTTCGCTTCAGTGTCCCCCGTTTAACATTAAAATTTAATAAATTACTCCTCGCTTCGATGTGTTGGACATTAATGTTCGTGTGTATCGTGTATAATGAAATACTGTTAAGTATGCAGGTGTAAGATTAAAGATTAAACCTTTCGTAGGAAACGAGAGGCCTGAATATTTTTCGTTCAATACGTTTAACACACGCGGAAACATCCCGTCCTCGCGACGCGGCAATTTGGATCTGTTCGTTTTAATTGCTATACCTACACATTTGTCTCTTTCCTACTTTCGCAACTAAAATCCGAATACGCTTACTCCGTTTGAGACGCATAAAGTGCAAGTAAAATGACCAGATCTAACGGCGAAGAACTTGAAGGATGATTGATTTATAGTATGCATAACACGCGCGTGCGTGCAAGTATACGTCTATGTGAGTCTTTTGAGTTCTTCATCCATCTGCTGTTTCTTGAGAAATGTATGGATTTATGTAAATCTCTTCTATTTTACATCTATTTACATTTCTTTTCCCACCACACACGTGCAACACGCGCGCGACACACACACACATATACAACATACATCTTGTGTGAAAGAAATGCTGCATATTAAGACAAACAAGACAAACGTTAGATGATTAAAGATGTGAAAAAAAGCGAGATTGAATTGCTGCTCGTTCCTGTAATTATCAGAGACATGTTTTGTTCTCATGTAAAGCACACACACCAAAATAATAAATATTTTTTGTCGACGTAATCACTTATCGTCATTACCTCTCCCGCTACGTTTCTAAGAAAAAGCGAGCTAAAATATTCAAAACTACAAATAATTTAGGTAATCTATGTAAGATAACTCGATTAAATTAAATGGATAAATTTCCGAAATGTACACATCCCCGTTATTCGTATGATGAAAATGTATAGAACCTAAAATGTTAAACTCTGTAAGATCTCAAACTTTTGTCCAAAACATTTATTTTCCGTATATACCGGGATATACGTAAAAAACTACGATTTTTATTA